CAGAGGCGGAGCCAGGATTTGAAGCTTATGGGTTCGGGGTTCTCGTCCTTTTAAGTTACTGGGTTCTAAATTAATAATTTGTACTTCAGGACAAATACATGGGTTGGACCAAAGCGACTTGGTTCGGCTGAACCCGTAATTGATGGGCTAGCTCTGGCCCTGGGGGAGCAGGGGCGAAGCTAGAAGTCTAGAGCTTTTGTTCGAACAATGTATTGTATTAAGAAATTCATTAAATATGTATAAATATTAAATTTAGAACCCAGTCATTAGTACTTGAAGTCGTTATTCTAAAATTGAGAACCCATAAAGTTGACTAGCTCCGCTGGGGGAATGGGAGATTTTGGGGTTAACTTAGAGGGAGCTACGAGTTTGAGTCTTGTTGTTTACTGGACTTCACATATTCATGCTTTATCTAGTGTGTCTAGAAAAGGTATTAAAAAGGGGAAAACTATAATCGATTGATGAGACCATATTAGGTTTTTAAGCAGTGATTATTTTTGCAGAACTTTACATCCTGAACTGCAAGCGGAGCTTCTCCCCGGCATTGATAATCACAAAGCAAAATGGCTGTTTGTGGTTCAAGAACTTCTCATATTGGTCATTTTGTTGGCAATATGACTGCTAGGCGCCTACAATATGGTTTGTCGGTAAATAGCAGCACCGTCTCTTACAGCAATAGAAGCATTGAGAATGTTAGAAAAGCCAGTATTAGTTTGAGAAATGAAGGCCAGCCCCACAACTTCATGTTATCTCAATATTTCAGAACTAGTGTTGCAAAGAGGAGGGGCAATTTGAATCCATACGAAGGATTTGGTTTAGAAGGTTTTCGCATTTTATCACCTGCGCATTTCTCTTGTGGAACTACTTCTCCTCCTGGCATGTCTTCTATTAATTCTCAGGGAAAGGAACGTGCTGCAACTACTGCTGATTCTTCTGAAGGAAAGATACACCTGAAGCTGAATTCGGGATCATTTTACCTGCCTCATCCTGCTAAAGTAAAAACTGGTGGAGAGGATGCTCATTTTATTTATGGCCCTGCACAAGCTATAGGTGTAGCTGATGGGGTCGGTGGATGGGCTGATCTTGGTATTGATGCGGGGGAATATGCCCGTGAACTAATGTCTAACTCTATATCTGCGATACAAGAGGAACCTAAGGATTCTATTGACCTAATCAAGGTCCTTGAGAAAGCTCACATGAGAACAAATGCAAGAGGTTCTTCGACTGCTTGTATTATTGCGCTCGCTGATGAAGGTCTTATTGCTGTTAATTTAGGAGACAGCGGATTTATGTTGGTTAGAGATGGATCTGCTATATTTAAATCCCCTGCACAACTGCACAGTTTTAATTTTCCATATCAACTGGAGGGCAGTAGTGCTGGTGATTTGCCTAGCTTGGCTGAGGTGTTTAAAATTGCAGTTGCTCCAGGAGATGTCGTAATTGCTGGTACGGACGGGCTTTTTGACAATTTATATGACACAGATATCACTGGCGTTGTGGTTCATGCTGTGGAATCTGGCTTAGAGCCAGAGACGACAGCTCAAAAGATAGCAGCATTGGCACAACAAAGAGCAATGGACCCAACTAAGCCGTCCCCTTTCTCTGATGCAGCCAAAGAGGCCGGATTTGAGTACCACGGGGGAAAACTTGATGACATAACCGTAGTTGTTTCTTATGTAAATAATGACAGCGATCCATAATGTGATGGTGTTTTGAAGACATGGGAAGTTGGGAACATTGACCACTTGGTATTCTTAGTTTGAGGTTTGAAGCAGAAACAGCAGCTGGTTGAGAGTGACACTGCAGTACCAGAAATCAGAGGCATCAGTGGTTGAATTTTTGCTCTTGGATTGCCGAAAGAACAATAATTGAAAACGAAAGCCCTGCAGCTGCATGTTGCGGCAAGCTAGTGGAGCACCTTATTTGGTCAAGTGTTTTAGTTCCTAAAATTCAGATGGGCTGTTTGAGTTCATCAGAATTTATTGGAGGGCGCTATGTTCTACCATGACTAAGTTGATAGAGATCTTAATTGATCAACTGTTCTTGTTGACATTGATGTATATTAAGACACTGCACGCTGAAAGTTCTTTTTTGTGTGTATTTGGTTTTGTATGCCATGGGTTCTGTATTGTTGAAGAAATACTTTCCTTTTCTACACACTTGGGGTTTGTGAGAAGTCAATTTGCTAGCCAACTCTGGATTTAGTTTTGCAACAATCTGAGTAATCTGAAATTGGATTTAGAGGGATGGGATGACTGAAAAAGAGGTATACCTCCTTGAACTGGACCGGATTGGGCGTTACAAAGTTGATAAACAATTACTCCGTCCATAGTGCCAAGCGTGTGAACTATCTATCTATATCTATATATAATATAATTGTGGGCAATAGAGAACTGAGGTGGCACATCTCTTTAACAAGCATTGGCATTTATCTTTTTCCTTCTTTTTTTGCTATTTTTCTTCGTTCTTTCTTTTTCTTGCTACTATTTACTTAACTTAATTAATGTTTAAAACGTTCCAAGGGTCAATTTTAAAAGGTCCAACCGTTCCAATGTTTAAAGTTTAAACACACAACCGTTCCGTTATGAAGCTGTAAAGCCGCAGCCAACGAAAATTGAAAGGTGACTCTCTAATGACTTTTGATGAATTTTAAATATGTACATAAGCAAACCAGAAAAGAAACAGTCCATAAAGCCAATCATATCATAGACATTACCCACCATAATTTCAGAAGTTTCGATTTTCAGAAGCATTTCAAGGTATGGATCCTCCCCAAGCTTTGTTACCGAGTGAACTTGTGCCGGGAGAAGAATTAACAAATTCAGTTATTTTGGCTATTGAGATAAAAATTCTGATAGTGAGTTGGGATGTCATCGGTAAGATTGTTATTTTTAACATAAAATTGGTATCGACTGATTCAAATTTACGTTTCCTTTTCTTTCTCCTTTATCTTCTTCCTTTTTTTTTTTTTGAGTTTTAAACCTCTATTGAATTTAGTACTATTCACTATAATCTTGAAAATCCCATAAACTCTTGGGAGATTCACAAAGAGATCAAGACATCAAATTATGTCTTTCTCAAGTCTGATCGTACTTTTACAAGATCAACTCAGAGTGCAGTCGGGTGCTTCTTGGAAATCAAATACTTCACAAGAATCCACACAAATTCTTTGCTCGATGAAGAATAATTAGTTTTGGCGCTTTTCTAAATCCTATTTTGTTAAATGGTTTTCAATTTTACATATAATAATCTATTTAGGAAACAGTGAAGTGTGTGAATAAATTAAATTTGTATTGATGATATTGCTAATTTCGGAGCTATCCATAAGAGAATATTTATGGGAGAAATTAAAAAATAGCCAGATTTACAATGGTCGTTAAAAAATAGTCCAGTTTCAAAAGTAATCGAAATTTTGTCACTTTTTATGTAAAGATAAATCTGAACGAAAACACTGTTCAAAATGCGAAAAATACTCCAACATAATATGCTGGAGTTCCAATATATACTGGAACTCCAATCTAATATATTGGAGTTCCGGCCTAATATACCGGTCCAGCATAATATACTGAAGTTTGAAGCACCGGTGCTCCAGTCTCCAGTATATTATACTGGAGCCAGCAAAGTATATTGGTCCAGCATAACATGCTGAAAGTTCAAACACAGGTGCACCAAACTCCAGTATATTATGCTGGACCGGTCTCTGTTGCAGCAAAATAGTGGTTATTTTTCATTGACTTGGTAAACGCTGGCTATTTTTGATTGACCAGTCCGAAAACTGGCTAGACCGTACTATTTTTACAATATTTATATTTGTCTTTTATGTGTGAAAATTGTATCTCTTTTATCTCGATTAAGTGTATTCAAGAATCATAGTGCTAATTCATTATTTTTTGACCGCACAAAGCACGAATAACTTGACTAGTTAGTTAATAAAGAGGTCAAAATTTTGGAGTTCAAATCCTAGTTAGCGATTGAAAAAAAAGCTAAATAATTTCTTCCTATTTACATAAGTCTTGGTAGCCAGAGTTACTTGATACATGTGCTAGTGAAAGGCGGTGCCAAGAACTAATCTCTCCATTAGGGTCCTAAAAGCAAGTACAACATTTTCGAATGTGTGTATACCAAAAATATAGGGATAAGTATAATAAAAGGAGATAAGTAGCTATTTATATGACATTGATTGGTGAAGTGATTAAAGTTGTTTTCTAATGAAAATCGAAAAAGCTGTCTTGATTTTGGCTTAGGTATATATAATGTTCTGCTAGATCTAGTGTATAGAATAATTTAGTATCTATGTTTAATTTAAATTCTTCTAGGCTTACACTTCGGGTTTTACCAAATATTTCTACTTTAACTATAAGAAAGATGTATTGGCATAAAGCTGGAACATTTTTAAGTGAGCTTCTTATATATATATCGTAGGGCACCCCTCGGTATTTCCTCTCTCCTGTATGTTCTGTTTTCAACCTTTTCAGTTTTATAGCATGCCATTTTAAACTATGTCTTGTACTAAGATTCAATATTTTTCTCAATCTTTTTTTAAAATAGTCGAAATAATTGGATATTATTCACTCATTTCATTCCTCTCTTTTCAACCTATCGCTTAGCACTTGCTTCTATAACCTCCACCCTGACCACATCCGAAATTAAAGTACCCATCGATTTAATTGGTTAAACTATGATTGAAAATCTAACTGTATACTTAGAGTGGTTATGTCCAGATTTTACAAGGATAGAACTATATATATACATAATGAAGCATAACTTTGAGAAATTTTGAAATCTTTAAACAAAAATAGACTTCTAAATTTACTGGAATTTTAAACTTACATAGTAAACAACAAAGAGAATTTTCTCTTTCGGAAAACCAGGAAATTCTTTACAAAGCTTTTTCACGGATAAAGATACATGATTATTTTACAATCAATTTATAAACAAAGAACTAGGATTACGGTGAGAGAGAGAAAATATGAGACTGATAAGGAGAGGATTTTCTAGAAAGTGACTTGTAGATTTTGTCGTGTGTCCATCTCACAAATTGGTCTGTTATTTATGGAAGTCTCCGGACTTCATACATGGATTTGAATCACTTAAAAGAATCTTTTTTTCCAGCTTGGTGGGTACTTCATTGAGCCACATTGTCACATGGCTTTCATGAAGATTCTTTTTATTATTTTGTCCATTATTTGGATTATTCATCTTTACCTTGTCGTTTGACAATTCTTTCTTTTAGTTTTATGTCTTATCTTCTTTATTATTCTTATGTTTATGTTCCTTTATTCTTTTTTCACGTGTCCAAGTTATGCAAGCCACCGAGTTTTTCATGATAACTCATATGTAAAACAGGGGCGGCTCAAGCGTACATGGAGCCTAAGGCGAAAGTTTAATATGGGGCCTTATTTTTCATTGTTTGTCAAAAATTTGTCAAGAGCTAATTTTTGAGATTTTATTAAATTTTCGACTTTTCTTTTTTTTTTTGTATTTTTGAATAACCAGATGCATATTTTCTTGTTGAAATATTTATATTCTAAAAAAAATTAAACAATATGTACAGAGTAAAATTAATAAAATAATAAATAACAAATAAAAATAATACAAGAAAGTTAGAATAATATTACCCATTGACTGACTGATTCAAGAAGTTTGAAGACTTTGATTCCAAAATATCTAGTTGTTGGCTTGTTGGAGTCTTGGAGAAGAAAGAGATCCAATAGAAAGAATTAAGAAAATAAGCATGAATCATGAGTAAAGAGGAAGGAAGAAGATATGTCTTCTAGAATATGAAAAATGAATGAATACTAGCACTAGAGTTGAAACGTTGGCTAGGGATTACTTGGAGGAATAAAAAATAGAGTTGTCAAATCAAAACAAAGTGACAACTATTTTTCTACTATTTTAAACTTTAATTTAGTAATATATCTAAAGTTTTTCTTTCTTTTTATATGAAAAGTACAAAAGTACTATATATATATATACATATATACATATATATATATATATATATATATATATTTAAAAGAAAAACTTATAAACCTATAAAATATATTCCTTATTCCTAAAAAATGGGGCCCCCCAAAATTGGAGGCCTAAGATACTTGCCTCACCCCATACTATGTTAGAGTCGACCCTGATATAAAACTCTATTTGTATTATCTTCTTCAGTATTTTTGAGGTTGCTCTTTCTTCCTACAATTCCTCTTTGGTATCAGAGCTAATATTAATTTTGATGGAGGCAATTCCATGAGATAAAGAGTTGTCTAAAACCTAGTGAGAGAACAAAGGATTCATTATTTAGCATCTTTTGCTTCTTCAGAAACTTAAAATTATCACTTTGTCATGTGATTTATGAATTTGACTAATGTTTAAGAACTGTCACAGGAACATGGTTAATAATCTTATTATCGGTAACATTTCCGGACTCAATCAGCTGTAATGCAAAATCCACCAGAATCAATTCCTTATCTTGGTAAACCGGGCTCTTACGTAAGCAAGGAATTGTAAACCTAGTATTATACAGAATTTCCTACCACTCTTTAGACTAACAAACTATTGAAGAGGTGCCCTTTCACTACTGATAGATTATATAAGAATAATATTGAATAGGGTGTATTAGTAATACTGGTATTAGTTATGCTGACATATTTCTTATCCATTATTTGATTTGATGTATTAAAATATTACACAATTTCTAAAAGAACTATTTATTTACAAAAATACCCTCATAATCAGTCCATCACTTTATCTTTTTTAAAAGAAACATATATAGAGGAATATGTTTATATGAAAAAGGGTTTTAAAAAAATTATTTGATTTGTATACCTATATTGTAAGTATAGAACTGAATATTTATTTATAAAAAAAAATAAGATAAGTATTTATTTATATACTAGGGATATAAATTTATTTCCCACTTTCTTAAATTATTTCAAACTTGCAATAATATAATAGTATATTTTGATCAAGCATAAATTTTGAAGGATAATTTTGTATTTAACTAAGCTAATGCATGTATTAAATTTCATTGCATTGTTAATACCATGGTTTCTTATGCATTAGTGTTTATCGTGAAAATGGTAATAACAATTAAATTTGATTTTGTGGTTCTAAAAATACGTGATCTATTTTTATGCTAGTTGTTAGGCAATGGGTGCTAAGTA